CTGCTGAGTCCATCTGGTCCATGTCAGGCTCCATCTCTTGTAACAGTCTTTCAGAGCAGGAGAGGCTATATGCAGTGTTCACACTTGTGAATAACCTGCTCAACAGTGTCCATTGCTAAGTCCACCCCTTGATCACGAGTCCATCTATATGCTGCATCTCTGCTCTGATGGCCTGAGGTGGCCTGGGCCCATCAGGCTCAAAATAATTCACCCTCCCCTGCAGCAGTTTCTGCAACTTGTCATTGGGGACTCCATCCAGCTGCCTTCATTCTCCAACACTTCCAAAGCACTGGAGGGGCCCAGTGGACTAGATACTTGCCCATACTGTCCCACACACCCTGCCACTGATGACTGTGCAGCCTTGGAGAAAACCTCTTAGTCCTCCTATATCAGCGTTTAATGCAAGACAAGACCCAAACGCGACTCCGCTTATCTTTCATGATGAGACAAAATGGTCGTGGGTAGAACACACTCTGTATGCATGCCAACATGGTGATCCCCATCACAATCAGCAGGCAGGTCTCAAGGCTATCCAAAGGCCATTCAAAACCTTCAGAACTCTCAAATGATGCTGCTATACTTGTCACTGGGGCTGGTGCAGCTGCTGTGCTTGGAGCTGGTGCAGCTGCGCTACCTGTTACAGTCAGTTTGAGTAGCTGCTGCACTTGTCACTAGGGTGTGTGGCAATGTCTCCCTCACAGGCTGACCACCTGAGGAGGGGAAAAAAGATGTACAATTGCTAAGCACTTCTATTACATACCCCCTAAAGTATAGAGGTGGTGACCACACTAGGAACACAAGCCAGATCAGTTTCCTGATCAATGATTCTATTGCATTTCAAGTCATTACTATAAAGTACAATGAGACAAGAACCTTAGCCCAAGGCCCTCAGCCAATAAACACTAACACTGCAAACACCAGCTGTAAGTAAGGTACAACATGCTGAAAGGGTGAGATCAAGAGCAACAAATTTGAGAGGCAATAAATCAGCATTGTGACAAGTGACTGTTAACCTGAAACAATGAATGCTTATCATAAATACAATTTGACACACTCCAGTCAGATCTGTCATTATCTCAAACCTTTGTGCCCCACACTGGGAGCCAAAAAGAACTGTTGTGGTTGAAGGCCAACCACCCAGATCGCTCTCTCACTCCCCCCCCTCCTCCCCCGGAGGGATGGGGAACAGAATCAAAAGAATGTAACTCCCACAGGTTGAGATAAGAACAGTCCAGTAACTAAGGTATAACACAAACGGCTACTGCTACCACCAATAGTAATAAGGGAAATAACAGGGGAGGAGAACACAACCGCTCACCACCTGCCAACCAATACCCAGCCTGACTGAGCAGTGATCTAGCCCTTCTGGGTAACTGCCCCCAGTTCTACATCCTGGGCATGATGTGCTGTGGTATGGAATACATCTGTGGCTAGTTTGGGTCAGGTGTCCTGTCTCTGCTTCCTCCCAGCTTCCCCTCCTCCCTGGCAGAGTATGAGACTCACAAAGTCCTTGGTCAGAGTAAACATGACTTAGCAACAACTAAAAACATCGGTTTTATCAGTGCTGTTCCCAGGCCAAAAGTCAAAACCACAGTGCTGCACCAGCTACTAAAAAGGAGAAAAATGACTGCTACTGCTGAACCCAGGACACTAAATAACACTAAATAAAAGCACTTGTGGATATAGAGCAAACAGAAGATGTACAATGCTTTAGGCAAGTATTATAAAGCACTCTTTTTTTACCCATAGGATCCTAGTAACTACTGAGTCTTGTATCTTTTAATGAAAATGGCATTTGTGTGAAAACACATTTCTACCCACTTTCCTTTCTCTTAAGACACACTAAAGCTTGCTTAGTCCAAAGCCAGAAAGCCCAAGAACCTCAAGTGATAATTATAAAGTGCATCGTTAAAACTTCCATTACCCAGAAAGCTTTCAGAATTTTAACTTGAGATGATAACAAATGACATAATCCACAACTGAAAACAGTACTACCGAGACCAAAAGAAGCAAAGGAATTTTTACTCTAAAGAGAATACTTGAGAGCTGCCCTGAACCCAGGACAAGACCTCAAGAGAAGCTTCCATCTAGCTCAGAATGATCAGAATATAACAGTTATTATATATATCTTATCTTGTCCAGCTGGAGACCAGTAACGAATGGTGTCCCTCAGGGATCTGTGTTGGGACCGGTCTTGTTTAACATCTTCATCGCTGACATGGACAGTGGGACTGAGTGCGCCCTCAGCAAGTTTGCCAATGACACCAAGCTGTGTGGTTCGGTTGATACCCTGGAGGGAAGGGATGCTTCCCCAGAGGGACCTCGACACACTTGAGAGGTGGGCTGATGCCAACCTCATGAGGTTTAACCATGACAAGTGCAAGGTCCTATACCTGGGTTGGAGCAATCCCAGGCAGAGCTACAGGTTGGGCAGAGAAGAGATTCAGAGCAGCCCTGCGGAAAAGGACTTGGGGGTGCTGGTCGATGAGAAAATGAACATGAGCAGGCAGTGTGTGCTTGCAGCCCAGAAAGCCAACCATATCCTGGGCTACATTAAAAGGAGCATGATCAGCAGGTCGAAGGAGGTGATCCTGCCCCTCTACTCTGCTCTTGTGAGACCTCACCTGGAGTATTGTGTGCAGTTCTGGTGTCCTCAACATAAAAAGGACATGGAACTGTTGGAACAAGTCCAGAGAAGGGCCACGAGGATGATCAGGGGACTGGAGCACCTCCAGTATGAAGACAGGCTGAGGAAGTTGGAGCTGTTCAGCCTGGAGAAGAGAAGGCTGCGTGGAGACCTCATAGCAGCCTTCCAGTATCTGAAGGGGGCCTATAGGGATGCTGGGGAGGGACTCTTCATTAGAGACTGTAGTGACAGGACAAGGGGTAACGGGTTATAACTTGAACAGGGGAAGTTTAGGTTGGATATAAGAAGGAAATTCTTTCCTGTTAGGGTGGTGAGGCACTGGAATAGGTTGCCCAGGGAGGTTGTGAATGCTCCATCCCTGGCAGTGTTCAAGGCCAGGTTGGACGAGGCCTTGGGTGATATGATTTAGCGTAAGGTGTCCCTGCCCACAGCAGGGGGTTGGAACTAGATGATCTTAAGTTCCTTTCCAACCCTAATGATTCTATGATTCTATTAATATAACTTTTATATTGTTCTAATTTTTGTACTTTAGAAGGAAAGTCCTCAGAGCTTCCTAAGATATATATATATTTTCACTTTCAGACTTGGATTTTGAATATTTAGTTTTGCTCTTCATAAGCGCAAAGGCACTGCCTTTCCACAAACTATACTTAATGAAATCACTTATTTGCAATTTGTCTGGCATTCAAAAATACTAGGTTTTAAAAACAGTATTAACATTGTTTCCAAAACTAATTCACAACTTATAAAAATATAAAGCATTTTCAGGTGTCCAAGTTTGTTAGTATTTAATAATCATGAAAACCCTCAATACCGCTAATGATGAGAGCAATTTTTTGTCCCAATAGCCAATTCCCTCTCTGCATAACAATTCTCTTTCTGCTCTCACCTTGTCTTATGCCCACCCGTTCTGTATGTTATCAAAACATTACTGTCTTGCATAAAACATTGCCAATAATCTTTTTTTAATTAATAAGGCTCTGATCCAACATGTACTTGAGTCCAACTTGCCTTGAAAGATAATTAAAAAAAATCAAGTAAAAAAAATAAAATCAAACTATAGTAAGTGAAACAATAAGCAAACTGCAATGAAATTTATACCCAATGACTAACTGGAAAATCAGGAGATATTAAATGGACTGCAGGAGTACACGAATGATATATTAAGGTAGGAAAAAGAAGGGAAAAAAAAGTGCAGAAAATGCAGGCTTCCACTTTTTTGCACACGTTTACTTCACCAATACAATATTAAAATTGGATAGGCTCTTGGCAGCAGGCTGAAATCAAAGGGACAACCTGCAATTACACTTAAGCATATCCTACAAGTTTTAAAATAGTATTTCAGTAGAAAGGCCTTAGCTGTCTGAATAACAAAGCAAATCAGTAGCTGTACTCTTCTACAAGCTGATATAGTTTTAGCTAAAAACTGTTTCTAACATGCTTTGCTGAAACAAGTCTGACTATAAAAAACTTCTCACAACTTGTCATGCAAAAACCTCAGATGTGACTCCTGGCCAGGCACGCACAAGGGAAAACATATTCAAGGAAACAGACCTGTGCTCCAGCTGGATTTGTACTCCTATAAATTCTTTAAACCATATACTTTTCATAACTACAACAAGAAATTCTTAATAAAGGTCTGGAAACTGGGTAATTAGAATTTTGCCAACAGTATTTCTCTCCTACCTGTTTTCACTAACACCCTCACAATTCTGCCCTTCCTATACATGCTCAGAGAATAGTAGCAGGAAGCAAAACTGAAAGCACAGCCCGCGGAAGCTGTCGTGACCGGAGTCCTAGGACTAACAGCTTTACAGATCGGTATCTGAAAACACAGTTCACCTCCCATGAATTTTGTTTTTTGCTGCAATCCATCACTAGGCTATTACCCACAGTATTAGCAAAGGCGGTATTAAACAAAACTAAGACTTTAAAGATCACTCGTGGGGCAGCTAACATGGCACGCCGCTGTTTCCCAGGAGATTTAATCTACGGGCACCCAGAGAAGCGAAGCCGCTCCCCCGCCGAGTTACGGCGGAATCCGCCGCTGGCCTGGGATCGCGGCCCGGCCGCTGGGGGAAAGCCCTCTCTCTGTTAGGGAGCCCGAGCACACCTCGGGGTGTCCCGCTCTGAGACGAGGGCGCGGATGGCGCCCACAGATCGCAACCCCTTTGTGGCGGGGCCCATCCCCGACGCACCCGGCCGCTTTGGCGGGCCGGGAGCAGTTTAAAAACACGCAGACAATGCGGCTGGCGGGAGCGGCCGCGCCGCCACAGTGCCCCAGCCCCCGCCCCGCTCACCACATCCCCGGCCGCGCCACCAGCCCCCTACCCGCCCCAACCCCGGCCCGCACCACGTCGATGTTGCTGAAGCCGGTGAGCACCAGGTCCTTGAGAAGCTCGCAGCCGATGCCGCCGGCTCCCACCACCAGGAGCCGCGCCTGGACCACAGCCTCTGCCAGGTCGCTGCGTAAGGAGCCCGACACTGGGCCCAGCACCGACATGACGATAGGCGGGCAACAGAAAGACACACACAACTCTCTTCAGCCGGGCCGCAGTCCGAACACCGAGCCTAACAAAACCGAAGCAACAACCACCCACAATGCCCTCTGTCGAACATAAGAGCCTCAAGCCTCTCCCACGCACCGCCCCGGAAGATTGCAGCGCGGGCGGGGCGGGGCGCGGCGCGGCGCGGCGGAGCGCGGGTTCGAGTCCCACTCTCGTCGCCACTGTCTGGGTCTGCCTTGGCTGGGGGTTGCCTGTGGTCCAGGGAAGCTGGCTTTTCCCTGCCTACTGCAGACAGGGCTTGAACCACGAACTTCCCACCCGGGCTACCGGCTGTAGTCGAGGAACAGAGCAGGCGGACGCCCGCGGAAAGCAGGGGCAGCGCTCTGGGCTGAGCACGAGATTTGTGTATCTGCCAGTCTAGTCTGAGTTGCCCCCTGCAGCCGTCATGGTGAGCATTCTTCCTTTAAAAAGTAGTTTTGCAAACACATTCCATAACTTTAGCTCCCACCCGTCCCCTTTTTAAATCCACACTTTTAGTGCATTGTTTTATGCAACAGCATTAAACCTGTACAAAACGCTTCAAAGACACTTAAATTACTCCTCCATTAAGTCAATTAAAATACTGCAGTTCAGCCTAAACTAACAGGGAACTCCACAGAAGACTTGAGACTGCTTTAAACTAAAGCAGCTTGATGAGTCTGTGAGGACCAGACTGTGGTAACAAAGCAGGTGCTGTGCCTACCCCATCACTGTACCTGAGAGGGGAACAAAAGCTCCAACAAAAACCTCCACCCTTTCCCCTTCCAAAGAAATGTGACTGTCAGAGCACATTTCAAGCACATTTCACTATGCAAATGTAGCTTATTCCTCATCAGAAAAACACAGAGAAAAGCTTCATGATATGAAGACTGCAGTGACAGCAAGGCTTCTTCAGCCATTACCCACTGAGTTTTCAATCTGTGGTCAAAACAAAGCAGATTTGTTTTTTTAAAGTCAAACTTACATTAAGTTCTTCACTGCTAATAGTTTCTAAAAATTGCATCCTGTTTGGCTGATGAATGTTAACAGACTGTCTCATTTCAGTTAGCTATACTTTCTCCTTTATTCTCCTCCCCAAACGTTAAGTGTAACTACAATCAGGAAACAAGCTCTACAATTCAATATCCATGTGTAACCAAAGCATGCGAGTTTTCTGCCACCACATTTTAGAGGCATGTTCATACTTCAATCAGTTATTCATGAAAATAAGCACAATGTCATCAAATTAATTTAATTTTTCACCACATCTGAGGAAAATTCTGTTGCATAGTTACACTCTTTCACCTGTATGTAGTAAAAAACCCCAAACCATCAGATTTTCCATCTATGCAGAGAAATACAATTTATTTAAATAATCTCTTATCTGGGTCCTCTTGTACAAAAATAAATTCTTCAAGAGGGGTTTGGTGATTAGTTGGCCAGCATCTTCTCTCACACGTGTAAACCGGAGCAGTTCCAAATTCCACTGACAGATCTAATAAACAAAGCAATAAAGGCATGTAATGTAAAGGTATGAAAACTGACATCACACAGCTGTGCGTGTATCGAATTAGAATGATCAGAAAGATTCATACAACACATTCCAGCAAACTCTTCACATCCATGTCCCTGTGCCAACAACAAAAAGTCTATAGCGGCTCTGTTCTGCAGTGTTGCATGTCTCACAGAGTCAACATTAAACAACAAATCAGAAATTGCCTTTGATGTAGCATTTGTCTGCTTAGCAAGCCAGCAACCTAGCTTGTTTAACTGAGCCAAGGCCCTGGCTGAAGCACTTACAGTGATTTGGCATATTATGATTGGATACATGCCTTGAAGACCCTTAGTGACTAGTATACAATTGGTTAAACACAGGTGTGAGAACTCAACCTTGAAAGCTTGCCAACAGTCCACAGTTCTCATTAACTTGGTGAATTCCAGTTTCTTATCTATCTTGCTTGCTTAAGCTTCTTCAGGCCTCTCATGGCCTTGCTGTATCTTTCAGGATTATTCAAAGTTTATGTACCAATTATGCATTCTCCTGTGAGAACACTGTCTCCACATCTCCCCCCTTTTGTTTTATCCAGTAACAAGTCACTACTACAGCAAGGCACACACATTTACATTAGCAGAGTAACTATTACAGGGTGCAGCAGCATGTTGAAGATGCTGATGGTAGCGAGGGACTAGCCAAAGAAACTTCTTACCAGTGGAATTCTCCCACCCACTTAATTTGTTCCATTACCTGCTTTATAACACTACCATTGTATTAAAATCTTCCTAGCTTTTGCCCTAGCATTTTTCTAGCAGCTACTGCAAATTTCCATACTCTAACATCTCTTTTACAAGTGACAAATCTATACAATACAAGGTGCAGTTTCTTATTAGCAACTAGCTAGTAAATACAGGTGGTTTTATACACAAAATCACAGCCTCTAATAATAGCTACTTTACAAGCACACATATTCAGGATGTTACTTTTCAGGTGCCCTCAAGCGATGTTTTGCAGTTATTTGTTCTTTCTCTTCCTCTATCTCATTCTGCTTGGGGTATTCACGGTCAGCTCCTGTAGCTGAGGCATTAGGTTTTTCCATTCGTCTGTCCAGCTCATGGCAAGGCTCGACAAACTTTGCAGGCAGTCGCCATGGACCTGTAGGCAGGAGAACACAAATATACCCCCTCCCCCAGGTTATCAGTTCTTGAGAAGTAGACAGGTTAGACAGGTTAAATGCAGCATCATTACTCTCTCTCCCCCCCCCTCTTTTTTTTTTGGTTTTTGTTTTTTGTTTGTTTTTTTTTTTTTAATCCCTGCAAAAGCCGGCCTGCTTCAGCAGCAACCATAAATACCCACCGGCAACCACACCTTTACGTTAACCCTTTCATGCCCAAAATGTTAAACAGCTACCCGTTGAAAGCTTTTACATGAACCCAACAACAAGAAAAATACACAGAACACCGTCTGCCCTCAGCACACACACACGCACACGCATATGGGATCCCACAAGCACACGCCACACAACTACATTTGAAGCACAAATCATTACTCCCATTACCCAGTTCCATGTACAGAACGTGGCACAAGGACCCTGTGGAGACTAATAGCAAACCAGCTCCGAGAAGCATCATTGCAGTGAGAGGTGGACCAGTGAGTCTGAGCAGACCGACCCGGAAGACGAAGAGTCAGAGTCTGGAAGCAGAGGATACAAATCTGGCTCGGATTCAGGGGATTCGGGGGCTGATCCTGGGCCGAACTCAGGGTCTCCGTTGCTTGCAGCTATGTCTTTCTTGTCAGATGTCTCTCGTTCGGTATGTGGCTATCTGCAGACCTGGCTCCTCCGTAGCTGAGTTAAAAATTTCCACTCTAGGGCATAGTGGGTTGGAAAGGCTCACCGTTCCTTTAAATCTCCCGCTAGCGCATAATCTCTATTTTCTACTGCGTGCTTCAAAACGGCGCCCCAATAGATCCGACGCCGAGGCGCCACCCTCTTCCTTTCAGCTTCTTCGACATTCATCATGCGTATCCCTTCTAATATACTTTCTCTGTCCTTTTCAAAGTCCCTACTTTCGGAACTGGGGTGGTGGGGGAGCAGGGGGTTACACCTCCTCCGCGGCACCTTCTGATGAAGAAGGAGGGGGAGAAAAGGAAGGGGGGGGGGGAACCCTGTGCTCCCGCGAGTTGGGGGAAACGAGTTGTAATCTTTCCCCAGCTTCAACTGACCGGGGACGTCTGTTCCTAGTTTCTCCGTTGCTACCACAGCAGTTTTCTTTACTGCCTTGTATCTTTTTATACAGTTTATTACTTCTCTCCGTGGTTTACTGAGTTTCTTTGCCGTTTTATCATTATTAAGCATTGAGTCAAATAGTTCATCACCAAACTTTCGCCACTCACATGAAAGAGATGAAATTGGAAAGGGCGGCGGTACCTTCTGTATTTGCTGCCACAGCTCCAGAAGGGGCTGTCTCCCCTAACCGCCATCATAGTGCTGCGGCTATGACTTTTGCACCTCTGTAAGCGGCGAGGAGAAGCAGACAGGCCAACCCAATATGGGTCATAAGCAAACTTCCACTTTATTTGTGGCGCACTTCGCTTATATCCATGTGGTGTTTAGCCACGCCTACTAGTCAGAACAGTATTGGTTAGTTCTACACAGCTTCCTTCACATTCTCCTCCCACATCCGGTATCCGGTTACCTGTGAGGCCTACACCTTGCTTTGCTCGCGCAAGGCCTCTAAGGATCCATGGTCTTGTTCTTGGAGCCATTCTGCAACACACCTCCTGTGGTACCTGGAACGGTGCCGAAAAAATCAATGCCCCGAGCTGATGAAAGCAAGAGCCAGGTCCGCAGATGGCCACATACCGAACGAGAGACATCTGACAAGAAATACATAGCTGCAAACGACGGAGCCCCTGAGTTTGACCCAGGATCAGATTCCGAGTCCCCTGAATCCGAGCCAGATTTATATCCTCTGCTTCCAGACTCTGACTCTTTGTCTCCCGGGTCGGTCTGCTCAGCTCATCAGCAACTACTCACTAGCCTTGGAGACGCTCAGCTGCAACAATTGATGAAAAAGCTTGAAGCCCTCGAGACTCAGATTGAGACATCTCCATCGGTGCCTCCACCTTATCCTCTGCAAAACCCCTTCCTTAAAGAAGGCAAACAGGGGGAGGGGGTGGGAGAGGTATAGGGGGGCACAAATCCTGCGCACTGTTGGCACGGGTTAATCAAAGATGCAATTATTACTGGTGAGTTTTCTGCAATGGGCCTCTCTGCATATCCTGTGTTTACTACACAGCAGGGGGTAAAGAGTGGGAAGCTTTTGATCTCAAAATAGTTAGGGAGGGCTGACAAGTGGTGACCACGTATGGGTTAAAATCCTCTTATACTCAAGCTGTATATGTCATGATTTTTTTGTGCTATTGACAGGAGACTTTAATAACTCCTCTGCTATAATACATGGTCAGACATTAGGTTCAGGTTATATGACTAAAACTCCGGGTATTCTTGTCCGGTACAAGGATTTGGAAACCGGCATTTGGAAAGGTCCTGTGGAAGTAAAACTAACTGGTTGAGGTTGTATGTGTGTAAATTACAGATTCCGGTTTGTAGTGAGTGCCAGCTCGATGGGTGAAACCCTGG